ACGTGCTGATATCGTAGAGTGCTCGTCGATTCTGACAGCAGAGTCGAAAGTGACACTTGGCTGGTGAGAAATTGTGGACGATGCTCTCGACTGAAGATTTTCGTCGATGATAGCGTGTGCCCTACCCTAACAGTTTACCTTGAAGCGGCACTTAAGAGAATCTATCGTTTTTTTCTTCGATTCGTTTCTCATTTTCACGCGTGCCATGCATTTAATCCGAGATAATCAGCACAGTTATCGTTATGCAGATAGTTCTCGTTACGTAAAGCAGTCGCAATCTACACGCAGGTTGGAGACTCTTACGAGTTTCTCTGTCGAAGCAGAACGATACAACGATTTCAAGATTCGTTCCAGAGACGGAGACGATTTTTCTGGAGCAAAATACGACGCTCGACAATTTTAATTTGTATCCGGATAGAACGGATTATGGACGTTTCGATAATTGGAATTTTAATTTGAGATGATTGGAAAAATGTCGCTTTTTTCAATTTCAATTTTCTTGGTTATATGAGAAAATAATTACTGATGATGGTAACAGGAATTTTATTTACGTTGGTGGGATATGAAGCCTATGGCCTTGACCTTGACATTGACATATGTTGCAAAGGTGAAACTATCGATCAACTTTTTTAAATAACATAATTCCAGGCTTCCTATAGCGTGCGAGATATATTTGCTTAAATGCCACAAACGTTCTTAAATCTTCCGCTTCCTATAGTAATGAGTCTGTCGAATGGAAGTACTGGAAATATTAGCAACGACCGTTACGCAAGGTCGTAATGAAGTTCAAACATAATGTAACGGTAAACACAAAAATGTTTCCTTCAAATTGTAACATACCTCGGTACTGACACCAATACACGAATAGAACGAACGAATTTAATGAATTTTAGTGTTTGTGAATTGCTAGAAATTTATGGAACAATAAATAGTCCACGATGTAATTCTGTTTCAATCAATTTACAATAAGTGCTCAAGTTACGATCAATATTTTTATAAACACAGTTTCTATCGTTCCAGGATTACCATTTTTAATGTGTAAATTCATTGAAATAAAATAGTTTGAAGTTAATTTGTTGAGGTCACGATCCTGTTATTTCAATGATTTCTATAACATAGTTTGATTGTATAATATAGTATAAGACTCATGCCAATTTCGATATATCGGACTTTATATTCGTTAATCGCAAACGCAAGTCAGGCGCGTGCTGCCAAAAATTCATTTTCTCGACATATATGCGTACCACTTAGAACCCGGGGTCAACAAACTACGGGCCTCGAGGTGAGAATAATTTTTAAACGAATCAAAAAAGTATTATTTCCTGTATCCGCGATATTTTTCATTCTTATAGCCAAGATAATAATTTATTTATCGAAAGACCCTTTACTACATATAGATATAACGTAAGAAAAATAAGCGAGATGTCAAAGGGCAATGTATGACAGTTCGGAAGCACACGGATGATCCAGAAAATATTAAGTAGATTTGCTAACGAACTGCTTACAGTTACAAGAACGTCAAACGGATGCATTTAAACCAATGTGAATGAAAATATCAGAAAACGATAAAACATAAAAACACAAGACGAAGAGAAAAAAGTAAAGAAAAACAAAGGGACGAGAGTCGCGTGGGCTCCGGTAGCGCGGCGAGTCGTCGTGCATTTGTTCTAATAATCGACGAAAACTGAAAGTGAAACTTACAGGTGGGCACCGGTACTTCCGCCTCGAAGATTTCAGGCCTTTTGATCTCGGACTTGTGGTCCGGCACGGTTCCGTTTTTGGGCATGATGATCCTCGCGGCGAGTTACTCGTTCGCGTGCACAGTCGAGCCCCGTCCTCGATATATCTCGAATCTCGATCCCCGACAGGCGAAACGATTGCAGTCTGTCGCCGAAAGCTCGCGCGGCGTTCTCGATGGCACTGTTGGAGCCACGGAGGAACTCGCGGCACTTAGCCGCGAACACCTAGCGCCTGTCGACCAATTAGAGCACGCGTTTCACGCCCCACTCGCGGTCCATGTTGTCCCCTCCCCTTCCCCTCGTGGCGGCGGAGGCAGTGCGCGTCGATATCGCGTCTCCTGACGCTGCCTCGACGCGCCAAATCAAAGGATTTTCGCGGCTTCGCGCCTCTTTTTTTTTTTTTTCCTCTCCCCCTTTGTCCGACGATGCTTCATTTCACCTATCGCGGACTAAACAGTAACAACAGTTCCGTGCGAAAGTCCTTCCGCCTCGCGGCGGGACAACACCCGACGGAATACCGTGGAAATTTCTGACGTATCAAAATACAAACATGCATTCCACACATACGATTCCGTACACTTGTTACTCGAATACTATTAGACTGGTCGTTTGGATACTTAATCATTCGAATTTGAATAGTTGATTATGTAAATGTTACTCGAGTACTTGACCATTTGGATACTTAACCATTCGAATATTACTCGAATTTGTGTACTTAATTATCCGAATACTTAACCATTTGGATACTCGATTATTCTGGTGCTTGATCACTCAAATACTTGAGCGTCGTGGAGTCAATTGTTCCAATACTTGAGTACTACGTGGCTAACCCGGATGACAAAACACTCAAATACATCGTTTGAATTAGCCGTGTCATGACACGGTACTTAAATATGTATGAGTAATATTCGAACAGTAACATATAAACAACGATATTTAAATGTTAAATAACGTGAATACACTCCTCCAGACCCTGCGCGTCGGCATCGCATATCCTAACACCGTGATCGTCACGTGAAATTGAAGGATTTCGTGGTTTAGCACTTTTTTCGTTAATTCTGTATACCTGATCCCACTGTTTTGTTTCATTTACTACATCTAAATAGTTCGCCAAACAGTTTCGCGCGAAATTCCTTCTGCTTCGTGGAAGGTTCAAGAACAGTCAACAGAATATGTACCGTGGAACTTTCTAACACAGTGCTCGAATATTATTTGAGTATTCGACTATACAGATATTTAACTAATATCTCACTATCTGTAACTGTAACTAATATGTTACTATCTGTAACGTCTCACTATCTGTTTCTTGATAGTTGAAGACAATTCCATTCGTATTTAAACATTAAATAATTGCTGAAATTGATGTGTTGAAATTGAACGTTGATCAAAAATTGCCTAATATTAATAGTTGCAGATTGTTGATATCAGAAACTATTATATATGTGTAGATCAAATTCCGATTTCGTATCTGGCGAATCTACGATAAGAAACCTAATGGCATTTGGTGATTCTGTTTCAATTGTCTGGTGACGGCCAGCAAGTAGACAGCAATATTTGCAGAGCTCAGGACTTCTGACTCGGTTGGTCGCGACAGGTCTTTAAATCGAAATATTTAATTTTGTCTTAGAATGAATCACAGGAGCATTCGTACTTCCTGAACTTCGTACGGTTGACATATTCTTAAGATAAATATTATGGTACCCTTATCGATTAAAATACACACTCTACTAACGAAGCTTCCGATTGATATATACAATACAACAAAAAAAAAAAAAAACTAATCCAACGAGTACTAAACATTAGAACAAATATAGTGTATTATAAAGTAGCCATTGCTTTAGTTTTGGAGTATCATTCATCTAAAGTTTATGATAAAAATGAATTTCAAATTGAATTGACTTTTAAACAAATGTTAATAATACCTGGTTTATCTCGAGGGTCGTATTTGACGCCACTATTTTTTACGTTAACATTTTGTTATTGACTATTTATTTCATTCAGACAATCTTAATCTATTTGTTAAGATAAACGTTTTGCAAGTTAATACGCTTGAAATAGATCACAATAGACTCTCGACACCGGCGTGTAAACAATAGATCTTACCATTTCCAAGAGGTATGTAACGAGTATTATTCATCACATTGACTGTCACGGTTACATAACCTCTTGTACTCTCAATAATACACCATTAGTGTCTATTCATAGTGTCTTTGATCTTTATATAGCGTTAAGATAATGAATCTTCTTTCTCTTTACATATTGAAGATGATGCCAATCTAATCGATTCATTTCATCGTCATTATCAAGGTTCAAAACATTCTTCGACTTAATCTTTCACCATTCACTGCTTTGCATTAAATTAGATCATTCCGAGCGTCATTTTATTTCTTGGTCAAATAATTCCCATTTAAATTTATTAAATTAAATTAATTAAAAAAATATATATATATTTTAGAAACTTAATTTAATTAAAAAAAAAATTACTTATTTGAAATGCGTAAGCGTAACAATATACCTACACATTAAATTTTTTCCCCAAGCATGATAAACAAGTGTCCAGTGTCTTGTGGACGTCGGTGTATCTAAATCCGGTAGCTCCTTTCTCGAGAATTCGCGTAACATCGAGGCACTCGTCGATGCGTGTCGATTACGACACCGTAGCGAAAGTTGGGACTTCCCCGCGATTCCGGTAAGTTCGAGCCGAATCTATGGTTAAAGCCTGCTGGAACAAAACATGCAACAATCGTTTTTTGGCCGACGATGTACAAGGTGTACCTGTTAAAGTTTGTCCGCCAGGCATTTCGGCTATACTCGAAGCAGAGATCGTGAAAGCTATAAATACACGATGTAGCAGAAGGATATAGAGACATCTGACCATAGACGCACGAACTCTCCGCTCGACCCAATATATACATATAGTTACCTTGCAACGGGAGCTCCGTGAAAGTCCGAGAACGTGCACGCTGATGCATCTGACGCGCCTAAACAAATAATATCGATTGCTCCACGAACGCGTGCACGATCGAGGCAAGCACACCCGAAAGGTTGTCGGAACTAAGCGACACGACCAATTATTCCAAACACGAACACGGCTTAACGAGATCAGACGCTTGATGGAAATCAACGATTCCAGCGACGTACGTTAAGAACCACAAAGTTGCGGCCTCGTGGCCAGACTAACCTTCCTAACATTCCTAACTTTCCACGGACAGTGTTGGACAAAATTCTCACGCGCGAGGGCCATTCCGATGAGCAGAGAGACAGAAAGAGGCGTGAACCTTTGAAAAGCTTTTTTTCGTTTTAATTTTCCTCGAGAACTAAATATTTTTGTCGAAATAGTGGAAATGGGTTTTTCTGTATGTGATATAAAGAGAAAGATAGATCAGGTTAAAGAGAATGTTAATCCATCGGTAAGGAGAATACGAACAGTCTCGTGTAACATTTTCTCGGTCGTGGGTCTTACGATGACTCACCATAACATCTGACCTAATGCTACACATTTCCTTCCAGCATTTTCTCCCCCCGAAGACACATTTTTAATGATGGAAATGCAGTGATTAATAGACGTAGATATAACTGTCTCGATAATGATAGGATTATTTGAATAATTTAAGATTTGCATATTTAACAGATGTTCGAATAAGAAAGTATTCGTATATTTCAACTATTTATAAAATGCAAACGCTAGTGATGCAACCGTTGCAACCGAGTGAAATGCATGAATCTTTGATGATCAACGGTCTTCGTGAATATAAACGTAAATGAATACGTAACAGGCTCTGGACATAGTTGCGTCAAGCACATTAATTTAAATGTTTTCCACCGAGTTTATTGCTCCTATACAGAAAGTTATATTTTATAAATTTAAATTAAAAACATGTATGCGTTAAACTGGTAGAAACAATTATAAGAAAAATTTTCGTAATCAATTAAAATTTATATGCGAGATATGGTCACAATTTTTAAATTATCTTTTTTTAGACTGAGAGAACAGGCCAATTTTTTAGGCTAACCTGAACTTTAGGCGTAGTTTTTAGTCGGAATTCGCCAAGCGATAATTGCTCTGCGAAACAATCTTAGACAAATAGTAAATGTAGTGTTAAATGTATTGGGAAAGTTCTTCACCTAATTTCATAAGTATACATGTATACATAACAGATACGTGCGAGTATATATTACGAATTACAAAGTAATTGACATTAAAATATCATGTGTACGTATGTTATTGCCAGGTCTGAAAGAGTTAATTCGATACGTACATAAAATGTTGCATATTTGGGAATTTTTACAACAATTATATTCAATAAATCGTTTCGAATCTCAGAGCATTTATACATTTATTGTCCAACAATAAGTAGAAAAAAAAATTAGCTTAATATCTTTATTATTTGATTAGTTATAAAATATTTATTTTTTTTTTAATCCAAAATGTAATGTTTCCCTTAACGATTTAATTTTTATATTTCTTTCATAGACCTCTCAATGGTCTTTAATAATCAATGATCATTTAGAACAAATTATTTTGAAACATTCTACTATTAGAGTAATTCTATACAAAGTTTCTATTACAAGAATATGCAATAATGCTAATGGTTTATGCGATAACGCGTATCTTCTTTTCGAGCTCACTGAATGCATTCAAACAATTTGTCGTCTATGCAAACCTAAAATGCTAGCTTGGGAAGCATGCATGTTATTAAACAAGCAGTTTCACTAATTACCTACATTTCCGTACTTCATTATTATACAGAAGAGAGGAAAATAATTATTAATATACTACACTAATATATTATTTCTGAAATCTCTCGCACCGTTGATACACCACGATCTATAATCCGAAGAATAATTGATCGGTACGGATTACGCTTAAACGTCGAAAACAATATGCGAAAAAATTGTTCGCAAAAGATTAATGACCAGCGAATTTTTATCTGTTAAATTAAGAAAAATCCAAAAAAATAGGTGCGCGTAAAATTGACGAGGATAAGTTAAATCTGACGAGGCTATATATATAATTAATATTCACAATTATAATTTATCGTGTGTGAACTATACAGGGTGGCTCTAAAGCGTGTGTTCGGAGGTAAAGCAACTCTGTTCGATAGTTTATGCCCAAAATCCGTTCGTTTCAAAATGTCGTCGGAGAATTTGAAAGGATTGCTTCCCGTCCGCGATATGGCGGGCGTTTTTTTTTTTTTTTTTTTTTATTTATTTGCCTGCTTTGCGTAGCTCGCGACCACGCAGATAAACGACGAAAGTGAATTATGGTAATGGCATCGCGGATCTTGCAAGATAAACGAGACCTCGAAGGTGATTGCCTCTCGATAACGAAGCGCTCGTAAAAAAAATCTCTGATGAAAGATGGACTCGTCGAATCCGCCCGGCTAACAGAGACGGACAACGCTCTTATCTGGACAAAAATCATAAATAACGAACAAGAAAGAAACAACCGTTTATCCATCACTCGTCGAATAAAAATTAAATTATATTCGATCACGGAACGAAATATTTCACGACGAATAAATAGGAACATTACGGGGATTGCTTTTATTGGGTCCTGCACATTATGCACCAGAGCAGAGATTCTCAATGGACGCCATGTTGTATTCCTCGAACGGAAGACGTAGACAAATTGGTGATCTACGACTTCCAAGTAAGCCAGACAATATTTATTTTCACTCGAATCTTACAAATATTTGTTATATAATATGTTTTATTATAACATATTGTGACGTTACCATCGATACTCTGAGTCAATACATTTCCATTATGATTATTAAAAAACTGTAGCACGAATTACCTTTTTTTATGCTGTTCTATTTTAACATGTCGCAATCGCGAATTCATGTCTCGTTTAAATTGAATTACTCTCGAGAAAATGTGTCTGATGCTCGATATCTTGTTTGTACACAAGATGGTAGGCGATATCATTGCGAACCCAGATATTCTCGAACTGTTTAAATGTTACGTTTGTGATAGAGATCTAAGTCGATACTGCGATGCAACTTACATAGCGAATATAAAATTGTATTACGGGGCTTCTAGTCACATGAGACATCTTTGTAATTCAACGTAAATCAAGGATTAAAAGTTGTCTCCTTCGTATCTGAAGAAATTAGTGTCCACTATTTCTTACGAACGAGCAGATTTCATCTGCTTACGGAGAATATAGAATTTTTAAACTAGTGGAATTTGTTCGTTCGAGGTTATTTGAACGAACAAGACTGCAACGGGGAAAAAATGGCGGACATTTTCGAGACTCGGAGAAAACTTGGTCCTGACACTTTTGTTCGTATCAGTGGAAATAACGAAGATATCAAGAAATATTTCGTACGAAAAAAGACTTCTCCATTTTGATTCGAAAGAATCCGAGAGAATCGAAGAGAATAAAGCGGAGCATCGCAACGCGACGAAATGAAGATGTCGATTCGACGTATCGTGGCACAGCGATACGCCAGTGTAATCCTGAGCACGCGTAGCCCATCGTCACCGTCACACTCTCGACTTTTCTCCGACGTCAACCGGTGCAGGTCACCTCCGCCTCTGTCGGCGGCGAACGAGCTTTTGTTGATAAGAAGACGTCGGTGGGCTCGGCGCACGTGTCAATCACTAACTCGTCACGCGACACGTCGATGGGAGCCCCGAAGCAAGGTCGGATTTCCCCTCGCCGGCAATCTCTCGATATAAAAGGTGTTATGGCCTCCTACCTTCTCCATTTCGCGTCGAAAATATAACGATTACGGTCGCTCCCGATACCACCGGTCTCGTTTCAACATAGCCGACGATTCTTCCTCCGATTAAAATTATGTCTTCACGCTTCCGTTTCTCTTTACCACTCCAAAATGGCCTCATCGAACTCGCACAATGAGAGACTACGTAACCTGAAATTTGCCTCGGCACTCATTTTCGAAGATTCATTAATCCTATTTAAATTTGAGTTGAAAAGGTTGAACGAGTCGATTTTTTCCCCAATGTTTACAGTGTCTTACATAACTGAAACATTTGTTGATAATATATTGACAACCGTCCGGAATACTCAAAGATCGTGGGTTCTCCGAAAATACATCTTAGATTCTTCGAGCCTTCAGCGATCGAATGAATTAATGATCACAATGTAACGCGATGCAATTCATGTTTTGATCACCGTCAATATATTTTGGTATTCCGCGTGTCTTATATCGCCGATATTTCCACTGCATCAAAGATTCCACTCCTCGATTCATACCGTTCTCCGCTTTTGCCTTTATGATTGACTTTTTTATGTAGTCGCCTTGAATCGCGCGGTGCGGCGAAACGTAATTTCAACGAAGGAAATTACATTCCTACGTGCAACGCGCGCGCAACACAAAAAATATGTATTTCGAGAAATGTATTCGGAGACGAGGAAGTCACATTGAATATGCAATGCATTCTTATCACTAGGAAACACTGGTAAATACGACGGCGCGAAATAATCTTTTCTTTCCAAAGGAGGTTACGACTGCTAGGAGCGATCATCGATCGATTATTGATTCGTCGAAAAAATTTGGCCCCCTCGAAAGTTGAGGTCTGTCATTTTGGTCGGTTCGTTTAAGAATAGATTGTTAAAAACGTGGTAATGCACCGTCATGCATAAATCACGATATCAGGCTACTGACATAGCTACTGATAAATCGTCTATTGCTAATCTCCTTGCGTCATTCTTCGAGTCTGTTTATGCTTGCTGCACGTCTACGTGTTCTACGCATGATACCGGCAATCGCGCCGGTTTTACAAACGTTGCCGCTGCAATAAAAGTGGTACAAGGCGTCCCGCTAATCGCTGTACAATCTAAAAGGGGTTGCTAGTTAATTCGTAAACAAATTAGAAATTTAGAACAAAGCGTTCTCGTTCGAACTTCCGTGAACGAGACAGATGACTTGGATATTCTGTCGAACACGCGTTAGCACTATTAATTCTAAGTCTTCGGTACCGGTACCGTACGCAATAGCATGTTCCGGCATTTTGGGCAAATAATCTGATAGAATTAACCTTAGAAGATAACCGTCTTATCTTTATATACTAAACTATCCCAATCGAACGAAGCTTGCGCTGAAATTCGTTACGCAGAGAATAACAATTAGCCGTGTGCACTTTGATTAATTGTATTATATATTTAATATTATTAGAAACACAGTCAGTGCATCATTCTACATGAAAATACGAATCGAAAGTATAAAGTAAAAAAATCGTTCGAGGCTTTGTTTTACAAGAAAAACAACTTCGAACACATTTTACGTATTTCGGTTATAATCATTCTCTGATGACTATTTCAAGCACTAAAATAAGTATTGTAATTGTTTTCAATCCATTAATAATAACAAGAAACAATTAAGTATTGGAAACCGATTGGAAACGTCGAACATTGTCGATATCGTCGATCGAACGCCAG